TTTCAGGTGATGGGAAGTGTGTGATCTGTGACTCGTACGTGCGGCCCTGCACACTCGTGCGCATATGCGATGAGTGCAACTACGGCTCCTACCAAGGGCGCTGCGTGATCTGCGGGGGTCCAGGAGTGTCCGATGCCTACTACTGCAAGGAGTGCACCATCCAGGAAAAAGATGTACGTTGTCATCCAGCCCTCGGCTGAATGGGTTATGGTTTTCTTTAATAGCCACGCTTATCTTTAAAGGGACTTCGAGCTGGTGAGATTAGTGTTGGGACGTTGGACACTTGGCTTCCACTCCCAGAATCAGCGCTGCTTTTCATTACCTTGTACTTTTCTTCCCCTGTTGTTAGTTCCCAGTGATTGTAAAGGATTTTGAGATAGCAAGCAGTGCCCTGACTCTCTGCAACCCAAAGAGTTCACTTCCTCCACGCGCTGCTTGTTACCGTGTTCAGGTGTTATCTTGCTGGATCCCTCAGCCTGGCTTTTATTAGGGTCAGAAGTATTTCAGACACTGCAAAGGCAGGGACAGGAGCAGCTCCTCACGAAGAGTCTGTCAGCTACAGACCAAGTCATGTACGGTACTGTTATGCAGCTGAAATCACCACCCTGTTTTCCTTTGGATTACAAGTAAGGAGAGATCTTAGCGCCCCTGTCCTTGCTCCACTAATTGTCTTCTGCAAGTTACATTTTCTTGTATAATTTCAGTGGGATATGACTTTTTTTTTTTTCCTTGTCTGCAGTGTCTGCATTGTAATCATCTCTTTTTCTGCCAACACTTTGTGGTGTAACAATCCCTTATTTCTATAATCAGTGCTGTTTAATCCTCTTGTCCTGCAAGATAGCCGCTGTGCGTGTGGAATGAGGCAGCTGTTCACCCCCGTAGGTATTTGTTAACATCCATCTATCCATCTCAGGGAGCGCAGGTCATGAAGAACTCCAAATGAGGTAGGGAGAAGCCCGAACAGGATGCCTACAGTTGCAGTATGCCAGAATATGGACCTGATAGAGATTATCTCCTGAGGGTTGTTTGGTTTATGGGTTGGGTCCTCTGCAAACACAGTCTCCAGCACACCCTAATGTTGACAGAGAACACACTGAGAATGGTTCTGATTGATTTAGAGAAACACGCTCAGCTGACTGAGTCGCTGCTTTCATTTTCTGCAGCACCCACCTATGTTTTCTCTAAAGGTCTGCAGCTCAAGTCAGGCTGGGGGCAAGCCCTCATCTGAATTTAGGCGTTAGATCTGAGGAGACCGTAATCTTTCTTAGTATCTAAATGTTGCATGTGGGTAGAAATGCTGCTGCTGCCTCCCGCATTTAGAAATGCTGTAAGAGCTCTTGGTTTTGTTGACTTACCTGTGCAACCAAAACACCTAGCTTGATAAGTCAGCAGTAAAATAGATTTTTTTTTTGTATTTTTACCAATTTGTATTGATTTCTAATGGGTATTTTTCATAACCTAGGCTCACCTGTACCTTGTCATGACTGGTTCAGGTCTGAAACAGTCAGCTGCTCTGCAGGGGAGGGTTATAGAAATACAGAGTTGGAGGAGCAGGGTGGCAAGTCAGAACTGAGGTGTTCTGGTAACCGAATGAAGGCTGTTGTGGGTGCTGCATGTCACGACAGTAGCTGCACAGGAAAAGCAGATGGACAAGAGCTCTGTACCTGAAGCTCTGCTGGTCCAGGGTTTCACGTAGAGCACTCGATCTTCCTTCATCCTTACGAGAGAGTCTGAACACGAAAATGAAGCAAGAAAGCAGACACTAAAATGGAGGAGGCGGAATGCTCTTGGGCACAGCGCAGAGGGTCTGGTTAGTCGTGGTTTGTTCTGACAGAGGGAGGAATTTGTTTCATCTCGGTTCTATCTGTGGGTAAGGGCCAAGATCCCGCCTTGTCATCCAGGGCAGCTGTGAGTTGCAAAATATAATCCTTTCTGGGGGGACAGGAGCATGCTCATCTGCTGCCTCCGTATGAGGAGGTGGAAGAACGAACAGAGCCCTGCAATAATGCTGTCAAGTTTGTCACAGGCTCCCTGCGTTGTGGGAGGCAAGGCTTGGAAGAGTCCCGCTACTGAGGTTCAAAGTCAAATAACAAGGCAGTAGCTAGAGACAAATCGTGGCAGGTGATTTCTCCCCCCTCTCTTGTTACTTCTGCCACGCAGCCCCTCCCCGCCAGGTTGCCTCTCCTGCACAGGAGCCGGTGTTGGTGGCACAGCTTGGGTGCAATTTCTGCAGTGGCTGACATCTGCCCAGAGGCTTTCTAAATCTAATCCACTCAGGCTTACACAACAGCCAAGGACACGTGTTCCTCTGCCTGCTGGGCCCCTCAGCTGCTCTTGCCAGCCACAACATTTTGCCCTCAAGAGTTACGCAGACGCTGGGCTCAGGTGGCCCGCTGACAAATGTTCCCTGCTATACAGAGACGTGCGTGGCTCTGCCTTGTGTTTGCAGCCGTGCCCCTGAGGTGGGTCTCCCCTGCTCCCCTTCTTGCTTTTCTCGTGGCTTTTTTTTCGTATCATCTACTGGAATTCAGGTACAAGGAGTCAGCCATGTGAAGCTGTCCTCCCCCGAGGTGGCCACGCAGTCTCTGCAGTAATCAATCCAGCCCGCAGGAAATCCGAGATTCAGTTCTGCTGTCGCAGCTGAGAGGGGTCTCTCAACGTAAGAACGGCTTAGAGTCATCTCAAGCAACAAGATTCTTTGTGGCTAAGGAGGGGAAAGGTTATTCCTCTGGGCCCTATAAACCCTCTGTATCCTAATTTAGAAAGAATCCAGTCTTGAGGCACTAAGCATCCTTTTCATTAAACTGCTGATGTTATACGAGCTGTTTTCCTTCTTCACCCTAAGATAGAGTGTCCTAGAGTAGTGTTAGAGGCATTCATCCTCTTTGTTGGGCTCTCTTGCTGGTAGTAACCAGAGCTGGAGGGCAATTTACTTACAGAGGTCTAAGAAATGTGTGTTGAGGACAGTGTGGGGAGGGACGGAACTGGGAACGTGCTGGAACTGTGTATGTGGGGATGAGGTTGTGTTTGCCCAACTCCTACCTTACATCCTCTTCTCTTCCAGAGAGATGGTTGCCCCAAGATCGTCAACCTGGGCAGCTCCAAGACGGATCTCTTCTACGAAAGGAAAAAGTACGGATTCAAGAAGAGGTGATCCTATCTGCTTGCAGCTACACCTCCTGCCGGGTTGGCGAGAGGGCCTTGGAAACCCCTGGACTTTACTTTTATCGAGAACCAGCTGATTACGTTTATAAATTCGGTCATATGCTTGGAGCTGGAGAAGTAACAGACTCAGTGGGGACCAAAACCAAATCAGGACTATCGGAAAGAGCAAACGCGGATTGTCTCTTGTCTTCTCAGAAGCTTTGCTAGTGGCTGTCCCGGCTCGCTAAAAAAAAAAGCCCTGGTGAGCAAGTATTTACACATGGAGGAGACCAGCTCGGTAAAACGCGAGTGCCCTTTCTGGTGTGGGGAAACACCCTGTGTCTGTTCTTACCACCCCTCCTCTCGGTCGCTAGAAATCGCACCGCACACCAGGACTGGAGCACAGCCCCGTGTGCCCGCTCCCCACCCTTCCTCCAGTCCATTTCCAGGCTGCCCTGTTCTGTAGGGAACCTGGCGGTGCTTTCTGAGGGAGAACACAGCTCTTCCATGTTTCCTTTGTCAGATTCATCCAAGGCCCTTTCTGTAACCGTTCTTGTAGGATGCAAACCAATAAAGTTTCTCTTTTTTTTACTGTAACAGAAGGATTTCTCTCGGGTTCACTCTGTGTTTAGCCTCTCCAGAGCTTTCTGGGGGCGCGTGGGCTTAGCCCAGCCAGCACTGCCCAGTGGGTTATCTGGGTTCGGGCAGCGGCTGCTTGCAGCCCGTGACCTTGCTGCAAGGAGCCTCGGGGAACGGCTGTCGCTTTTGTGTGCGTGTGATCCCAGCCGCTGAGCGTTTTGTCCCGCAGCGCGCGGATCGCTGAGCTGGTAACCCTGATCCCGGCTGATACGGCCGGGGATGTTGTTTCACCGCGCAAACATCCAATCCCTTTCTAAAACCTACTAAGCTATGTGACTCGCCGTCCAGTTCTTGTGAATAAGTTAAAGCCATCCCCGCTGTAACGGGAAACCAACTATTGTGTTCTGGGCCGTGAGCCCCATGCCTGCTGAAAACCAGAGGCTGCTTGGTTGTCAAATACCAGCGCAGGCTCAAAGCAGTCTGTCTGCTCAGCAGAGAGCTGGGAACGGCTGCCTTTATGCAGAGGCATCACCGAGTTCCCTGCTACCGCGTGTGTGCCCCAGATGGTTAAATTAGGGGCCTACCTCAGCATGCCCCATGCTCGTTGAGGGCTTCATAGTCAGAGCAGAGTGTGCCCTATGCTAAGGGGATCCTCTTTGTTCAGTCTCAGGCTGCAGAGCCTGCATAAGGCACCTTCTGGGCCTTCAGTTATTCCCCCAAGGCTAGAACTGATTCTTCCAACTCCTCTGTGTTTTAAGTGCCTCTTCTGCCTGCTACAGCTGTTCAGGTGTTTCAGCCAGGAGTGAAAACAAGCAGGCAAGTTGTAGTCCTTCCCTTAAAAGTCATTTCTTGCTGCAGCTGGCTGTAGCCATGACAGGTCCTACAGCTATCTCAGCTGCTCCTCCCTCCCCACAGCTATTCAGTGTCAGTTTTTCTCCTTCAAGCTTTTTGCAGTCCTGAGAGCGTCTGTATGTTTCCTTCTCCGCTCCTTGGTTCCCTTACACAGTTTCTGGTTAATTTTTACTAACATGGGTGCCATTTGCCAAGATACTCAGTTCTTGGTTCCGTGGTTCCTGGTTCTATGGTTCCTGCTGGTTCTGTGGTTCCTGCAGACCCCTTCTCTCAAGCTGTTTCAGCCAGAATAAGCAGCAAGCTCTTGCTCCTGGCTTGGAAGCTCGTGTCACGGCCATTCCCAGCTGTGGTAAGTCCCCTGTTTCTTTAAAACCGGCGCATGACATGCAGATTTTGTTGTACCTGGAACTTTATCACTTTGACCAGGAGTTATCACTCACCCTCAGTCAGGCCACCCAGATTACCACATGAGGAACACAGACGGCTTGTACGTATCTTTTCTGCTTTCTTCTCTTTCCCCGGAGTTTCTAAGCTGAGCGAAGTCATTTGGCGAGGGCGGAGAGCAATGAAGCTTGAATTACTTCTTCTGTCTGTTATCGCCCCTGGTGCAGGGACCCCGAGAAGATCTAATTTTGGAGCAGCCCTTGTTCCTGATCACTTAGCAGGATCAGGCAGCCCGGGGTTGCTATAGAGATCCGCGATTCCCCGTCCCTTCCCCCAGCCCCAGAACGGCTGAGCACACTTTATTTTCTTGGCACTGGCGGTGCCCTCACGCTGCCGGGTGTATCGGCCCGCGTCCTGGCAGCGATGGGAGCGAAGCTGCCATGTCTCGTTGTTCTGAGTCACTGGGCAGGTGGGGAGAGGGAGGGACAGGCTCTTTTCCCTTTGCCTTGTTTGCTCAGACAGCCCTGGGGAGAACGCCAAATGTTGCTCAGCTCAGTGCAGCGCCGCTGCCTTTCTGGTACTTTCAGGGCACGGCCAGGACGTTGCCCTAAAGCTGCTCCTGCAGACAAGGGCAATGGATGCAGTTGGGTAGCTGGAAAAACTCAAGTCTTGCTTGCGTGGTAACATTTCTGGTCTCCAGTAAATGAAACCGAGGCACGGCCACCAGGAAAGTGCAGTATTTGTTACCTAAACAGATAAACAAAGTGAAACTCGTTGAAACAGCTCTTGCCCGGTACAAGATTTCCTGGCGGTACCGAGGACCAGAGCACGTGCTAAAGGGGAAGCCTCCGTGCTGTGGTGGGGAATGGGGAGCGGGACATGAAACGTGGTGGCGGCTCAGCTCCCGCGGTGCTGGCTGCGAATCCTGGATGTGGGGAGCCAAACGCTTTCCTGCTGTTACTTTTCTAGGTAGTTACTGCATTTTTTTTCCCATTTTTTTTTTCTTTTAATCCCAAGGATGTTATGTAATAAGTAAAAAATCCTTTTATTTCAGCTGTTTACACTGGGGGGGAGGAGAAACATGGGAACTCTTGGCCTATTAAGAAATTGGCCTCTGTTGCCAGTACTAACAAGGCATCGCTGCCTTTTGAAATCGGGATGTTCCCTGTGCCGTGCCTCCTCTGACCAAAGACCAGCTCTACGGTGTCACAACTTCCAGCTGAGCTCAGCAAATAACTCTCGTAACACACCTCCAGCCCATTGAATCACCTAGACCTTGTCTTGACAAAGCCCTTGAGCCTGAAGCACCGCCTTTAATAATAATAAAAAAAAATGAAAAATGAAGGTAAGCAAATGCCTGGAGTACACTTCGAGCTTTCCCTGGGGGAGCTGCATGGGTGAAATCTGGCTTCAGAACCCTGATCTGCGCAGGAGCTGTTGTTTTCTCATTACGGGGATCAGCTGGAGTTGTCATTTTGCTTATGTCCATAGCAGGGGACCAAAAAAAAAAACCTAAATTTCCTCGGGGTTGTCGTGTGAGCCGAATGCGAAGAGGATTCGGGAGCTGTTAATGATGGCTCGAACCTGCCTGCCCTTCCTGGTGCTCGGCCAGCCGGCAGGCCTGGCTCTGCCCCGGCGGCTTGGCGATTCCTGCCCTGTCCGTGTGCGTGTGACCGGGGAGCTTGGCCTTGACGTAACAGCCAAATGGCCGGGAATGCGGCAGCGGATACGGTGACAGGACTCCTCCGGTGACAGGATTCCTCCGGTGACAGGGCTCCTCCACCTGCGTGCCTCCCAGCCAGCAGATAATTAAAGCAGCGCGGTCAAGGCGCAGGTATTTTAAAGAGCCCCAACGTGCAACGCCCTCTTAGTAACACCTTAGTAAAACAACAATAGCATTTTAGCAACGTAATTGCCTTTTTTTTTTTCCCCTTAATGGTGCTAAAAATAGCGCCGTCATCTTAATTTCCTGGTCGCTGCCTGACGGCAGGATTTGGTTTCCAGCTGAGCGAGGGAGCGTTAGAAAAAATGTGCTCTTTCGTAGCTAAATTCCCCTTAAACCAGAAGTGATGAAAAATAAGGCTGCTCGTAATAGCTCTTATAAATCTTCCCCTACAGAAGAAAAATGGTCCAAAGTTGCCTGTTATTTATTTTTTTTTTATCAGTGAGAAAATGAGCGATGGTGGCCGCTGTTGCAGCCTAGGAAGGATGGTGTCGAGAGATTTCTTAACAAATTTCTTAGCGTGTGGCGTTGAGCGGCTTCAAAAGCCCTCTTCGGTGGCAAATCACCAAAAACCCCAAAGGCGGGACCCAAAACCCCTCAGGTAACGGGGTCCTGAGGGAGGGAGGAGAAGCAAATCCCAGAAGGGTGCTGAAGGTTTTGGTGAAGTGGGGCGGGAGAGGAGCTCGGTGTTTGGTGTAATTTGGTGTAATTTGGTATTTTAGCGTTTGGGGGAATTGTTTAACCGGGGGCCCAGCCCCGGGCCCAGCCGCTCCCTGACAGGGACCCGCCATGAGGCGGGGGCAGCCCCCGCTCCCCTCACCCCGCCCGCGCCCGGGAACTACAACTCCCGGCGGCCCCCGCGCCGCGCGCACACCCCCGGCGTCTCATTGGCTGAGGCGGCGCACCAATCGGGAGGCGCGGCCGGGCCGGGCCAGCCAATGGGAACGCTGTTGCTAACACGCCGCAGTTATTTTTAGCACGGGGGCCGCTCGCGCACCTTGCGGGGCCTTCGCCGCCTCCGCCGCGGCCGGGCCGGCCCTGCGCTGAGGGGCGGAGGGGCACGGGTGTGAAGAGACAAAGTAGTCCGCGGCGGAGAGGGGGGGGTGTGGGGGTACGGGGGCGGCTCCAGCGGCTCGGAGGCGTCCCCTGAAGGGGGCTCAGGGCCGGGATAAGCCGAGGGTCAATGCACCCCCAGGGGAAATAATAAATGAATAGGTGAATAAATGGATGAATAAATGGATAAATAAATAAATAAGTGGATGAAGGGATAAATAAATAAATAAACCGATAAATAAATAAATAAAATTCGGTGGAGGAAAGGGGTAAAAAAAAAAAAAAGAGGCAGACGCGCAGCCCCCCCCCCAAATCCCCAGCCCCCCCCCCCCCCCCAGCTCGCTGAGGGGCGGAGGCAGCGCGAAGTAGTCCCGGCCCCGGTCCCGCCCCGCCCCCCGGGGCCGCATCACGCGGGGCGCAGCGCGGATCCGTGCGCGGGGTTGCTAAGGGTGAAAGTTTGCCGTGAGTTGGCTCACTCGGGGCCAGGGCGCGGGCGGCTCCGGGCCGAGGCGAGCCCAGGCCAGGCCGGCAGCAGGGCAGCGGCAGCAGCACAGGGCAGCGGGACCCGCACCTCACCTCAGCGCCTCGGCCCCGCTGCAGGGAGGACCCCGCCCCGCAGAGGAGAAGCTCAGCACAGCGCAGCGCGGCGAGGAGGCGAGGCACGGGGCAGGGACCCCCGCACGCAGCCCCCACAGAGCCGAGGACGAAGTAAGTGGGGGCCGGGAGCCCCTCCGCGGGCTGGGCCGGGCGCTGCTCCCCTCACCCCGGGGCTCCCTCAGCAACAAAAGCGCCTCAAAGAGGGGGGGGGGGCACAGGCACACAGCGGCTGGCGCCGTCCTTGGGCCGTGCCCGGCCGGGGGCTCCGGGCCCTGGTGAAGGGAAGGGAGGAGGAGGAGGAGGAGGGGGGGAGAGGGGGGCGGCGGTGGCTGCGGGCGGGGCGCATGAGCCGTGGAAAATTTTGCGCCCTGCCCCACCGAGGCAGAGCCGGGCCGGCGGGCCGGCCCCCCCCCGCGCGGGGCACGCCGGGAGCTGTAGTTCGCAGGGGAAGTAGGTCACGGGCGGCGGGGCGGGGCGGGGGGGGCGCGAGGACTACAAGTCCCAGCGTGCCCCGCGGCCGGCGGGGAGGCGCCGCGGCTGGGTCACCGTTAATGGCCGCCGGGCCGCCCCCCTGAGGCGATGGGGGGGGGGGGGCTGGGGGTAATTAACCCGCCCTCATCAGCGCTAATTGCACAGCGGGACCCTCCTGGGCGGGAAGGGAACGGGAGGGGGCAGCCAGCAGGGCGCTCGTCTCCTTGCTGCCTCCTCGGGGTGAGGATTCAGCACAGAAATGCCCAAACCCGGCTGTCCCCGGCTGTTTGTTACCACACAGCCCCCCTCAGGCTCCTCGGGCCCCACGGGTGGGCTCCTCGGGGCTCGGGTGGGCTCCTCGGGGCTCGCCCGCTGCCATTCGCTGCAGGAGGGGCTTTGTCTCAGCGCCTCAGCTCCTGCAGACGGCACCTCCCTGCTGCTGGGCCCTGCAGAAAGGTTGGTGAGGCCCCAGCGCCCTGACACAACTCATTGCACCTCAGGAGATCCTGGGGGCAGGAGTTAAAGGCAAGGCTTTGCTCCCGCGCTTCCATCCTCCTGTTCCCCTGTCTTCCTTCCCTGCTGAGTTAAACCCGAGGGGGATCCCTTCCAGACCCAACCTCGTTGTTGGCAGACTCGAGGTGTGGGATCTGCTTTTGGTGGCTATAGTCCTTAAACTAAGCCTCATTGGACTCAGATTAGTACTGGAAAAAAAGCCACCACACCATAGAATCCACGCCCTGATTTTTTTTTTTTAGTACTAAAGCCTAAAAATACTTGAGGGTTTCCTTAAAATGTGCTGATTTCATTCTTTTCGCCCACTAACCCTGACCAAGCAAACAAGTCTGGTCGGTCCTTCCGCCTCCTGACCGAGGTTGGCCTGGGTACGTGGCCGTGCTGCCGGGGTTCCCGGTCCCTCGGGGACTGCTGACATCCGATGTTTGTGCCCCGTCCCCACCCCCAAATAGTTGGCACAGGACGTAAACACCGCTGAGTGCTGCGTGAGAGCCTCCCAAAGCCCATTTTAGGAAGGCGGTTGAGCGCGGCGTTGTCTGTTTGAGCAAGGTGAGGGCAGCTGAAGGCTGAGCAGCCTCTGAGTAAGCCGCCAATTAAAAACTGGATGTGCTGCTCGCCTGTGGAGAGGCGTGTGGGCCGCTGGAAGCGCGCTTCCTTGTAACATAGCTGTGGGATTCGTTTGCTTTGGCTGGGCGGCGGAGCACGGTGCTGACCTACCTGGGGGCTTCGTGCCCGGGCAAACACTCACAAATCGGTGTGTGGTGGGAGAGCTGAGCCGGGTGGCTTCACACCTGGCTCCTGCGGGTTCTCCCAGTTCCAGGGACTTCCTCGGGAGGGAGGGAGGGAAGGAAGGAAGGCTTCAGTCATCAGCGAGCAATTTGGGGTTTCATTAAGCAGGTCCCGGGTCCTGGCACAGCTCCTCCTGCTCGGGGATGAGGGATGTGAGCTGTGGGCAGGCTGTCAGCACCTACGTGTCTTACGGCCCTGCCCCCATCCACATTAAGCTGGGATTTGAGGCTCGTAGGTGGGCAGAGCCTCCACCGGGCACACTTAATCAGATCCCTCTGCGCTTGCCAGCCAAGGGGGAGTAAAGGCAGCCTGGCAGCTGGCGCCTCAGCGCTCCCCTTGCTCCTTCTCCTCCCCTCCCTGCCTGTGCCAGCAGGGCGCAGAGCTCCCCGAGGAGGGGCTGGCCCCGCTGTCACAGTGCCCGGCGAGTCACGAGGCTTTTTGGGGTGTGCTCGTGGGCTCCGGCAGGGCGCAGGTGAGCCCTGCTGGGAGCCGCCGCGGCCCTGCCAGAGCAGCCAGGTGGCCGGCCCGGTGTCAGCAGCGCTTGGCAGCGAGGTGAGCGTAACCCACTGCCGAGAGCAGCTCCACCCCTGCTCCTTCTGCGCAGGACCGGCGAGGCTCTTCCCCACCAGCAGCTCCGTCTGGGGGCTGGTGGGTTCGGGCAGACCCCCGGCAAGCAGCACTGCTCGTTGTGCAGCCTTCTCATCCCGCTTTTGTTGGTGGAACAGCGCGGCCGTTCATCTCAGCAGGTGGAGAACCGGGGAACCGTTCTGTTTTCTCACCTCCATCCTTCTTTCCTCCTCTCTTCTCCTAGGTCTGCTCGGAGCCAAGCCCCGTCTATGTGTGTGTGTCACCTCGGCTCTTTCAATACGCTGCCCTGACTTGCTTGCTGCGAAGGGAGTATGCATCTGGAGATTAAAGTTGCTCTGAACTTCATCATCTCATACCTGTACAACAAGCTGCCTCGGCGGCGGGCGGACCTGTTCGGCGAGGAGCTCGAGCGCCTGCTGAAGAAGAAATATGAGGGGCACTGGTACCCGGAGAAGCCTCTGAAGGGCTCGGGCTATCGCTGCGTCCACATCGGGGAGACGGTGGACCCGGTGGTGGAGCTGGCGGCCAAGCGCAGCGGGCTGGCGGTGGAGGACGTGCGCGCCAACGTGCCCGAGGAGCTGAGCGTCTGGATCGACCCCTTCGAGGTGTCCTACCAGATCGGCGAGAAGGGCTCCGTCAAGGTGCTCTACCTGGATGACAGCGAGGGCTGCCAAGCCGCCGAGCTGGACAAAGAAATCAAGAGCAGCTTCAACCCCGACGCCCAGGTGTTCGTCCCCATCGGCAGCCAGGACAACTCGCTGTCCAACTCCCCGTCCCCCTCCTTCGGCCAGTCGCCCAGCCCCACCTTCATCCCGCGCTCTGCCCAGCCCATCACCTTCACCACCGCCACCTTCGCCGCCACCAAATTCGGCTCCACCAAGATGAAGAAGGGCGGAGGGGCCGGCGGCGGAGGGGGCGGCGCGGCGGGGCCCGCGCCGCAGCCCAGGCTGCTCCGCTCGCCCACCACCAACCTGCTGAAGCACAAGGGCCTCTCCCTCTCCATGCACTCTCTGAACTTCGCCGGCAGCGCGGGGGGCCAGGCCCCGCAGTCGCAGCTCTCCCCCAACGCCAAGGAGTTCGTTTACAGCGGCGGCTCGCCCGGGGCCGCCGGCCTCTTCTTCGAGGGCGAGAGCCAGCCCAGCAGCGTCCCCCCGGCCTCGCAGTTCGGCGCCGGCACGGGCGGCGCCTTCGATATGGCTCAGGTGTTCGGCGGCAGCAGCAACAGCCTCTTCCTGGAGAAGTCGCCCTTCGTGGAAGGACTCAGCTACAACCTGAACGCCATGCAGTACCCCAGCCAGTCCTTCCAGCCCGTCGTCCTGGCCAACTGAACCCCAGGAAGGAGGAGAGTATTTGGGGCGGGGGCGGGAGGGGGGAAACAACAACGACAACACACACACACACAATAAAAAGAGGGAGAGCAAACTAGAAGTATACAGAAAATACTCAAATCTTATAAATATAGCTTCTTGGAAAATGAGAGAGCCCAGTGTTGTTGCGCTGTGCTGGCAACGCTCCTGAAGCACCGACTTGTTTTTTAACTCAGTCCCCGTGCTTTTTTCCTACTCCACTTTTTTTACTCCTCGAACGAGCCCAGGGTTGTTGGGTTCCCGTTCCCCGGTGCCGCTGGCGGGGCGGGCCCTGCCCCGCAGGTCGGGCTCTGCGTGTGGACGGGGAGCTCCGGCTGTGCCCGCGGGCTCAGGGCATCGCGTTGCTCCGGGCGAGCAGCCCCGTGGGGCACAAACCCCGGGGCGGTGCTGAGCCTTCGCTCCGAGTTCTCGTTGCAGGCTGTGAATTTTGTCTCTTTTTATCTCGGAGAGGGGGCTCCTTTCTTTTTTAGGTCGAGAGGCGGCACTGTCGGAGGAGAGGAAGGGCTGTGCTGTGGGTGTTGCTGTCTCAAGCAGTGCTGTAGGAGCCTGTAGGGTCCCGCAGCCCCCGGCACGGGGTGCCTGGTGGGGTTGGGGGTCCTGCAGGACGGAGGCCTCCTTGGAGGCTGTGGTGGGAGTATGGAGAGGGCAAAGTGAAGAGAGATGGTGATGAGACTCCAGTCTTTGAGGTTCCGTGTTTTAAAAGAGAAATAAGCTCTCTGCTGCCTCCCAAATCTTGGGTTCGGTTTTCTTTGACCAGTGTCCTTGGAGCACCCTCTGAAACCCACCCCTGTGGCTGCCGAGCCGGCGTGCTCTCCCAGGACGCCCCTGCTCAGGGCAGAGGGGCTCCACCTCGTGTTTTCCCTTCTCCTCGAGCCTCCCCGGAGCCGTGCTGCCAGTGAGCCTCCGCGGAGGCAGCGGGGCTGTCCCGGGGGGGCTGCTGCTCCCCGGGCCCCTTCCAGGAGAGCTTCACCTCGTGGGGTGCCTCGGAGCTATGACCGGCACGGCGGCTGGGCGAGGGGAGCGGAGCCCGGGCGGCCTCCCCAAAATGGCCTCCAGAGCTAGGGCAAGGGGCTCGGGGGCAGCCATGCTGTCGGGTTTTCCTTTCTTATTTCCTTTTCCCTCGGGTTTTAACCCCCCGCTTGCGGATGTTACCACTGCCACCCTTCCCTCTCCCCGGGGGCCGCAGCCCCGTGGGACCTGGCTGCCCCCACGTCCCCCCCAGTGTCCCCGAAACGGCGAGCCCCTCGCTGGCAGAGGGCGAGAGGGGAGAGGCGAGGTTCCCCGCCTCCTGCTCGTGCGCGTGAAGCTTCGATGCCGCTGCCCCGCCTCTCACACCCGCGTTAAAATCCTAAAAACCATGCTGCGAGTGGAAGGAGGGAGCAGCCCAACCCCTCCGACCCCGAAAGGAAAAAAGCGTGCTTCAGAAACGTTCCTCCAGCCTCAGGCAGCAAGGGAAACTAACGGCCTTTTCGGGTCTTTTCTAGTCTTGGATGTAGGCGTTCAGCTTCAATTTTATTTTTTAAAACCTGCACTAATTTACCTGGTTTCTTAGGAAGAGAAGAGAGAAATTTTTTTTTTTTAACTTTTATTTTTTATGGGTTTGTGTTCTTTTTGTTGATGTCCGTTTGTATTGAATAATTTGCTACATTTGTAAAATGTAAGAGGTATATATAATATATGTATATTTCTAACGTAAAAAAAAAAAATTGTAATTTTTTTCTTTTCAAGATTTTTTCTTAAAAAGAGGAGAGAAAAATATTTTTTCAGGAAAAAAAACTTTAGAAAAAAGCGGTGAAGAGTCCTGTCTCCCCACTCAGCCTCCCTCCTTTCCCTCCCGCCCCTCTCCCAGGAGCAAGCCGCCGGTTGCCTCGTGGAGAGAGCGGGTGAGGGAGGACCACGGGCCCTGCGGGGGGTTTCCGTGTGCCTGGGTGTCTTTCCAAGAAGGGGGCTACTGAGAGGAGGAGCCAGGGGGTTGTTGTCTTTATTTTTTTTTTCCTTTTTTTTTTTTTTTCTTTAGCGAAGGAGGAATACAATCAGAGTTTTGTATTCAGAATGTTGTGCAATATTTTGGAACGGGACATTGGTGTGTCTAGAGATTTAGTTAAAAACAAAACAAAAAAAAACTAAAACAAAAAAAAAACACACAAAAAGGTTGATCAAATCTGTACAGTTTCTATTGTTCCAGATTTTTTTAAGTTTGTATTAAAAGCATGATATAATAACTCTGTGTCGTCTGGTGCTGCTCGGGGGGGACCCTCTGTGCCTGGGGGGTGTGGGCAGGGGGGTGTGGGGTTTCCTCACAGGCACTGGGTTTGGGGGAGCTCAGCGGGGGCTTTGCTGTGGTAGGAGCAGCCCGGGAGCTGCAGATCGCTTCGGGTTTGCCTCTGGGGTCAGTGCTGAGCGAAGGAAGCCTCCAGCTGCGGGCAGAGCCCATCTCCCATTCTGAATGTTCATCCAAACTGACTTACAGCAGGGTGGGCTCAGATCTGGAACTGAGAACAGACACTGTTGACTGTATTTTTTTTCATTTTTGTTTTTAACCCTTCATTGCTCAGCTTTAATGGGAATTCCTGCCATGGGAGCTCCTCCTTTTTAGCAGGAGGACGTGGGACGGCTGCTCTGTGCTGAGGAAGATGCTGAAATACCTTCTCTTCCCTGCTTAGCCTGCAGCCACCTTCTGCTCGGGGATGGGGCTCCTCAAAAAGCAGCTGAAGGGAGCCCAGCTGAACGTGCCTGAGGAAACGAACGGTGCTGGTCCTGGCAGCGGGCATCCTGCCCTCAGCCCCTCTACCCTGCATTTCTTCCAGAAGAGCTTTGCCCTGGGATTTGTGAGCCCGAGGAGCTGGGTTCCTGCTCCCGCAGGCTGCACCCCATGGGACTGCCACACTGCTGAGCGACAAAACTCTTTTTCCCTGTTGTGTCTCAACCCTCCTGCAATCATTTACCTGAAGCCTGCAGCACCTCGCGCCCTTGGATGCGTTTCTGGAAAGGGGAACCCGTGGCTTTGCCCACCCCATCCCTGCCCCGCGTGCCCTCTCTGGCTGCCCACAGCAGCTGCTGCAGGAGCCCAATTACTTGCCCAGGTGTTGCCACAGCCACTGGCAGCGGCCCAGGGGCTAATGACAGAGCAGGCGGCAGAGGCGAGGGTTGCAGAAGCGTGGCTGGAGCTGAGGGGAGCTGGCTCGAGTGGCTTGTTCAGACCAGTCCCCGCTGGCTGCCCGGGACCATGAGTTTTGCAAGGTGGATTCCTGCTTTGTTGGAAGTCTCCAGAACACCCTGCTGCCTTTGAAGTGTGCCTGCAGCTGCGTTCAGCTCTGCCGCCCCTCCCAGGACACCCCAAATTACCCCGGGATTCCCGGGGTGACTGTACCCATGACCACTGGTTTAGGGAAGGAGGAAAACCCATTACACTCCCGAAGGGTTTAATCAGAAGCAGAGCGGCAACGGGGCATTGCCACGTGGTGGGTGCTGATGCAACGCGATGACAGAGGGGCACAAATGGCCCGGCCTGATGAAAGCTGGGTTTGTCCTGCTGAATTCCTGCGCTGCGACTGCTGCAAACGGCCTGAGGCACTTGGGAGCTGCTGACCAGAGGCGAAGCTATGCAGGGGAGCTGGCAGGGAGGAGAGGAGAGGCTGCAGGGTGGCAGCAGAAGCTGCAGAAGCACAGGAAGAGCTCAGCAAGAGGCCTGCAAGATGACAAGCAGGAAAAGCTTGGCGAGACTCCTGAGCAGGCTGCAGAACTGGTTAAAAAGAGGCTCAGGGCTCTGAGCAGAGCTGCTGGTGCAGCCTGACTCCGGCTGTGCTTACAGAAGCGGGAGGTTGCGTACTCTGTGTAGGCAAACAGGATTAGCTCAAGCCAGCTAACGCCAGCAGTGGGTTCGCTCGCTGATGGAAACGCCGGGCACGGGCAAATTGCTCAAGCCAAAAGGGAGGCAGGGTTCTGGGATCTGCAGGCTGCTGTTGGCTGCCGTGCGCTGGGTAAAGCAGGGGGCCGGGTGCAGCTCAGTTTGCTTATGCTCAGAGCAGTCGGGATGCTTGAAACCTCCGAATCTTCTCTGTCCCGAGCTCTTGTCCTTGCTGCCCTTCACCAGGCCTGCGTCTCCCCTTGCACTCAACATCCACCTGAGTGCCAGCCCCCACGCCGGCTGCGAAGAAAAGGGGCGAAAGCTCTGCTCCTGGGCCTGTTTCACCACCTGGATGCTTCTTCCTCCAGCGGCTCCAAAAATGCCTTCAGGAGCGCCCCTTGTCACGGCAGCACAGCCCCAGCCTGAAGCAGCTGCGTGGCTGGGGGCGTGAGGGCCGCCGCGTTGCGCTAATAACCATAACTCCGCGCTAATGCCGTGCCGCGGGAGGGAAGGCAGAAATGAGTAATTAACATGGTGGGGAGATAGGCAAGTCATGAGAGCATTACTCAGGCGCAATTGAGCCGGGAAGCTGCGATTCAGGGCTCCGCTATGACAAAAATACCTCGGGACTGAGCTCACCCGGCTTCGCCGCCGAGGTGCCAGGCTGTCGGCCCACCTGGACACGGGCTGCCCGCCGCCGGGCTTCGTCTCACAGCCAGGAAACAGCTTCAGGGTGGAGAGGACTTTGGGGTGCCTGTTAGCTTGTTGGTGTTTTTTTACTGCCAGCTCCAGCACTGCTCTGGCCAGCGGTCGCCACGAGTGGTGAGTGCAGGGCAGAGAGATGAGGCAACGTGGGGAGAGGGGAAAGGACAAGGACAGAGCAAAAGAAATGCTAAGAGCAAAGTCTACCCAGGAGAAAAACTGCACGGAGAAAGCAAAGGAGATGGAAGGAGGGGAAATCCCAGAGGGAGAGCTGGAGGAGCAGCAGCAGCCCTCTGGCACAGTGGGGCAGAAAAGGGGTGCAGGAAGGAGCAGGGCCCGGGACGGGAACAGCTCCCACACCGGGCACACCTCTCTCCTGCTGTTACTGTCACGTCTTGGAAAAGATGAGCCTGGCTTTTTCTGGAAATACCTATTGAGCAATTAGCACAGGTATTTTCTCTGGCACCTGTGTGACGCTTTCAAACGAGATGTTTTATGTTACCAACGAGAAAGGTGGTCCTGTGAGGGTTCGAGGAGGGAGAAAACTCTCCTGGTGGCCTCAAGGGACAAGAAGACCCTCCTGGAGGGGCGAGTGGACCAGGGGAAACCCCTTTCACAGGGAGACACAGCTGAGATCATCCATCTCGCTGCTCTGCAGGTGATCCCCGTGCAAAGCCCTGCTCCTTCAGCTCCTCTCCGCTCCCTGCCAGGCAGGACACCACACTCACTGGTGAGCTGCCTTCTCCATACCCTGGCAATGCCTGCTCTCGCCTCAGCTGGCTTGTCCTCCCGCTCAAGCGTGGATGTCTGGGGGTTGTCACTGCCTCCCCTCAGCAGGGCAGGACGGTGGCGAGGCTCAGCCTAACCCCGGCGTGTCCCCGGGACCTCGAGTACCTGAGGCTTGTGTGGCGCAGCCCTGCCACTGTCGGTGCCAGGGGGAGAGGAATTTCCCCAAGCCTGTGCTCATTCACAGGCCAGGCCCCTTGGCGGGCCGGGCTGAGTGATGCTGAGCCAGGAAGGGCATTCGCTGGGGCTTACTCATTGCTCTGGGATGTCGGTCCTAATGGAAAACATCAGGGAGTAGTTAGAATATGCCATAAATATTTACGAGTGAAGACATCCATTTCCTAACAGTTGCTGGAAGCCCGCAGCTGCCTGAGGTTTCAGGAGGAGGTTCTGGCTCCCGCTCCAGCACCAGGAGAAGCCGAGCACCCCCCGGTGCCAGCAGTGGCTGCAGGTGATGCCGTCCCTGCTCTGCCTGACAGCCCACAGGGAGCAACACGGGCACCTCCTGGGCAGCACGGTGGGCTCATGGTTTCGGAAACAATTCGGGTGGCTCGGCCCTCCAGGTGTCAACTCCAGGCCCCGACGGCGCTTTCCACCTCAGCCCGCGGCGCGCAGGCACGTGGCTGGCACTCGGGAGACACGTTTTAAGCAACTGCCCCGCAGTGACTCACGCGCTACCCAAGGCGGCCTGGCTGCCGGCTCGTGCAGCGTGAAAGCCGGCGATCCTTGGAAGCAGAGAGGATCCCGCAGCGAGCAGACATACGGCTCAGTTCCTGGCCAGAAGGTGGGAGGGGTGGAGGTGTTTCTGCAGGAGATAGGCTGGGAGGCTGAGGCGCTGCCCTCCTGACCTGCCACCGCACGCACAGCCCTGTTTGCTCTGGAATTGCCCCAAGTCAGCAGTGTTCGTGGCTCTGGGCTGCCCCAGAGGTAGGGACAAGGCACGTGGAGCAGCGCCAAGCCCAGGCAGGGCCAGCCTGGGGACAAGCTGTGCTATTTTGCCCTCTGACACCCTGGCCCTTCCCACAGCCCACTCCCCTCAAGCAGCACAGCCAGCTCGGCGGCTCCGATCTGCTCCTGGCTTTGGCAGGGCCGGGGGCCGGGATGCGCCAGGTAAATGTCACGTCGCTCCCAGCCGTTGGACATGCCTGCGTGTCTCCTGTTACGTACCTTGCAGTGCAAACGGGAGCTGGGAGGCCTCGGGTCATGCACACATGGTGTATGACAGCTGAAAAAATGAGAAGGGGACTTTTTTTTCATCTCCTGTCCATCCTTTCCCAGCTCTTCCTGCTGCCCCAGCCTCAGTCTAGGCTAGCCATGCAGGGGCAATTGGTGCTAAGCCACTCCGGAGCAAGGCCTCCCGTTGCCACAAAGGAACGAGCAGAGGGTTGGTGGTACCTGGCAAAAGCATCCTCTCCCTGCACCTCCCTCATGCTGTTTCCTCACCTGTCCCTTGCTCTCCAGCCCCTCTCCTCACCCATAAATATTCCCCTGCCTTCCCACCTCTCCTTCAGCCCCCTTCTTGCCTCCCCTGCCTTGTTCTCTCCCTGTAACTTTAGAAAGGTCACTCCCTCCTCCTCCAGCTGCCAGGTTATCGCAATCCCTCCAAGCAAAGTGGAGGGGATCTCAAGGGGAAAAAAAAAAAAATCTTGTCATGTGGAAATGTGAGACCCCAGTGCCACCCTTTCCATCAGAGAGAGGGCAAGAGACAGACAGCCTGGAGCAGGGGCGCACGGCGCCTGACACAGCCCTGTGGGTTGTCTCCTGCCGACTGTGGTAGGCAATATTAGTGGGCAATATTGGTGGGAGGTGGATGGTTGGACCAGATGGACAAGAGGTAGAAGCTGCTGTGTACTGCAGCTTGGGCTCCGCATGGAGGTACTAAGTTCA